GACTTTTCATCATTCACTTTCAATATTCCTGCCTTCTCTTTAGCACTATGTACCTTTCCTGGAAGTAGTCCCCTGAAAACATACGATCTCAACTGGTGTTGAAGTATTGACTGTAAACAACTACCTTTGCTCTCATCCTACATAAGGGCAAGTCATGTTATTATCTGAGGATTATTTGGCTCTTTGTTTGAGTCAGGTATGGTAAAGAATTGTTTATAGGTGGGATATCTTCATTTCATACTACAACACACATTTATTTACCTTTACTATAATAATCAAATGACAACAAATGAAAATGGGTATTCACCCAAGACTGCAGAAGAAATACTATTTGCATATGCATTCTTTTCCTACCCTGCTTGTGCCAAAAGTGCAGTTTTATATATCTTCGGATTGTGAATCAGCATTCTGCTTTTTGCCATGTTTTGGGAATTTTAAGGGGCCATTAGACAAATCAGTAGAATTAGTTAGATGCATGCTCTTCTTGTTACAGAAACCCCAGAGACTTTTGAATAATATTATACAGTGTTGTATTTTTACCATGCAAGGTTCAGCAATTTGCTAGAACAGAGCATACTTCACCAGGTATTTTCTCCAACATCTGATAAAAATCCTAGGGAACAAAATGTTGTAATAATCATATTTTCTTTTCAAGTATCTGTTAGTTTTTAATCCTTTTCTGCCTTTCTTTTTTCAGAAGCACCATATATTGGGTAGAAAAACCATACAAACAAAAAACTAACCAAACAAACAAAAATCAAACAAAAAAACCCCAAACAAAACCAAAAAAACCCAACACATCACCATTGTTTCTGCCTGTATCTTTCATTTCACTTTTGTGTTGAATCACAGTGTTCTCTTACAGCCTTTTTAAGAGTGTAATTGTTTTGTATAATCCTGACACTTTTTTGCTTCTGTCTGAAGCTGTTATCGCTATAATGAATGTAGTCATAAATTTGTCACAGGTAACAAGCTAAATTTAGAGCTCAATAAACTGGGGGAGATTATGTTGTAGATAAGTGAGTGCGCTGAGATGCAACAGTTACAATAGTAGCACAAGAAGTCCACTTCTGTCAGGTTAACAAAGGGGAAACACAGAACATTTGGTTCCCTCCCCTACTGACCACCATCATCCACGTTCTAGCAAACAAAGATGGCGTATGAAAGTGCAGGTACAGTCACAGTACCCCCAAAGAATTCCAGAGTGTGTTGCTGCTGTGGATGGGTGTGCTGTGCCTGGATCACATCCCTCAGCCTGTGGCTGTAGAGTGGTGTTCTGTAAAGCTTGGAGCTGCACAGCTCTACCACTGACCTGAGGGAGATCCCAGTTCCTCTAAAGAGGGTCTAAAACTGGGATTTGGAGCTGTCAGGCAGGACAGGACCCAGTGCTCCTGAAGCTGGACCAAGGTGTCATGGGACCCAAAAACCATCAGCTTCCCATCAGCATGATTCCTCAGGCATTGTGTCCTTAAAGAGAACCTGGCAGTCATGTCTGCCTCAGACCTGGGCAAGCCGAGTTCCCACAGTCAAAAGTCAAAGTATATTTTTTCTCTTTTGAGAAGTGGAAAGTGAAGAACATGGAGAAGAAAAAGCAATAGAAAGATGAAGGCAGGTGGTATAAGAAACAAGATGGAGAAAAACCATGTTCAAGAGAGATCCAATTCTCTAAAATTTGATCCAGTGGATGTTAAGTACGAAGGGTTAAGTGAGGGAAGGGCAGAAAAGAATGAACAACAGAAGGCAAGGCATGGCTAGGAAAGGAGAGGGTGAGATTGAGGTAGAAAGAAACAAGCAGATTAAATAACACAGATATGCAACTCCTTTGCTACACCTGGTTTAGTCTTTGTGTTTCTGTGTGATGCCTTCATGCTGGGCTGTGACACAGTAGTGGTGAGATGCCCTGTGGGGTGCTCTGGCAGATGGGAATGCCACAGCTGTGCCGAGCTGCTGCTGCTCTGGCCCACTCGCTGTGACACTGGGGAAAACATCTGTCTCTGTGTGACAGGAGGATGGCTGGGAGCACAGGGTGAGTGGCACAGCACCGGCACCAGGGTTTGGACTTCAGGGCTGCTGGGCATCAGCAGAGATGCTGATCCTTCTTGTGCTAAACAACCATAGGGATTCAGCTACACTGTTTGGTTTTTCAAATGCCATTTACATAAGCATCTTGTAGTTGAACCAGCAGCACTTAACTGAAGAGGTTACATTCTGCCTCTAAAAATGAAATTAGCTGTTTTGCTGCCAACCACAGTCATGTCCTCTTGTTGCCTCAAGAATAATGAAACATAGGCATACTGACATATAAATCATATTGCTGGAGAATGCATTATCTCTCTTATTTGTGACAGCATCGTGCCACAAAGTGCTGCATCTTGTAATTGAGGGCTCTCTGATGACTTCATTGTATGCAAAGTCTGTAGAAATTATTAGCACAGCACATTTCCATAATTAAAATGTTACGTATTTTATATATACTTGTGGTATAGATTTATGTATACCTACAGTATAGATGTGAAGACTCCCTAACTGCCATATGTTACTTCAATGCAAAATTCTTTGAAAACTTAAATACAAGAAGAACAAAGTTTTTATGCATAGAGAATGTTTTCCATTAGACCAGTTGTTATAGCTGGGAAAAGCAATCAAATCATCTGGGTTCAGGGACACTTTTAGGTGACGGATGAAGGCTTTATTCATTGCTGATCACAAAGAAATGGGCAGAATCTCTCATAGAAATATCTTTTCCTTGCCATGAGTGACATAACCAAATAATTAAAATTTAATCTATAATGAAACATTCATAGGATCTGTTGGTTTTGGGACACAAGTCTGACTGTTCTATTAAGAATTATCCTAAGGTAATGTTAATATTTTGATGGTTTGAAGCAAGTCAATAAATAAACATTTTCTTTACTCACATGTTTGCAGTTTTAGATAGCTTCTGAAGACAGATGGTTCTTCAAAACAGAAAGTTCCTTCTGCTGTTCTCTCTTTAGTAAAAAATGTACCAGAATATAGCAGATAGCATGAAATAATGCTTTAACTATTAGTTGTTTTCTGCAAAGTCCGTTTGTCTTGTTAAGGCTGTCATTTAGCTACATTGCCCTTTCCGTAACCCTGGAAGCAACTTCAAATACTCTGATATTTGAAAAGTTTGAAATATAATGTACCCTTAAAAAGCTATGAATGGTTTTTGAGACTTACTGTACAAAGGAAGAAAAAAATAATTTCCCTTTACAGAGGGCATTAAGCAATGATGGATGTGCATTGCTTTGTGAGAAAGCTGATCCTCACCTGTTGTAGGTGGGATGAGAAACAATGCCAGCAGCACTGACAAGTTTCCCCTTTACATGCCCCCAGAATTCAGGAATCCCTCTCTCAAGGTGTTACAGAAGGAGATTTTCAGGAGGCAATAAATAAATTTTGATCCCTCTGATTAATGCAGTTAAGGTCAAAGAGATTCTATCTAGATCTATTTAAAATACTCTTAACCTGCAGACATACTGCTGTCAGTAGTGCTAAGTGCCTTAACTGGCTGAGGAGTGTATACAACCCTTATGAAACTATTCTTTAAGTATTCTGGTTACTATATTTAGATCTGTCTTATAACAAGACAAAAAGCACTTAGCTAAATGCAGTCCTGATGTGCTTAATCCAGTTAAGATTATTTTGTCCTTAGGTGTCTTTCTACTAAGACGTTCTAGCTTACTGTCCTGCTGCATCATGCAAAAAGCTGCTCAGTGTGGTTGGGCCTGTGAATTCTTTTATAGCCATTTATTCTGTGAGCTCCTCCAAGTCTGGTGTTGGCTGAGGGCCTTGCTCATATTCATTAGAAAGCCTCATTCCTCTGCCCCTGGCAGCTCACATCTGCTGTACTGCAGCAGAGTGATAGCTCCTCCTGGAGACTGGAGAATCCAGGCTTCATTTTCCAGTTTAGGCTCAGTTAGCATTATCTGGATTGTTGACTCTCCTGGTGACCAAACAGCTTCTGTAAGCTTGCTGCTATTCCAGCTGGGTGGGAGGCTAACCATTCTAATGAGGCAGAAAACCCTCTAGGCTTCTTGGGAGCTTTCAGTTATTTGACAACCTGTGGGCAGGGTTTCCATAAAATACAGTTTTCTATAAAATAATGCTTTGCACTCTAAGCTTGGGAAAAATCCTTTCCTGTAGATGAATTTTTGCATGGTCAAATCTGCATACAAAGAACATTCCCTGAAAATTTTTGATAGATCTTTCTGTGTATCCACAAGCATTTTTTATAATTTAACCCATTGCTTTAAAAAGACTTCTTTTATACCTGTTTATCTCTGAACCAAAGTCACAAAATCCCTAGTCACTAAATCTTCTGTAGAAGTCATTCCTCTAGAGAAGAAACAACTCTGTGATTTTGATAGAACAGTACTGAGGGATGAGCAGCAGTGATAAGAGCCTCAGCTCAACTGGGTAACAAATAAGATCACATGCTCCTTTTGAACTGGAATAAAAGCATGTCATTTGACCAGTGTTCCACCGCTGTGAGAATAGAGACGTAGCATATTCACTGAGTTTAAGTTTGCTACGCCATTGCTGTTTCCAGTTGCTGCTTCACTGAGAGTGCCAGGAGTTAACATGATATTTTCCCTAGATTTTGTGTGTCCCATGAGTAGGAAGTATTAAGGGGAGGCCTTGAGTCCATTCACAGGTGGGTGATTGTGGCTTGTGTTGACTTTTGCTGATCATGTTTGTCTTGAAGGAGGTTTTGGCTGCAAAATTTGATAGATGAGGTACAGGTCATACTTCTGATTTTCACAGCACATCAGGTAAAATGTCATACCTTGGAAGAACTCCAGTTGATCCTCAGTGGCTCCAAGCCAGTAGGGCCATTCTGCCACCCTGCTGGGTCGCACAGCTTTTTGGACAGGAGAAGTCACATTGGCCTTCCCAGGCTGCTTCTATGGCAGTAGGCAGTACCTACAGAGCCAGGAGGCCAAGAACTTAGTCCAGCTCCCATTACTGGAGGCTTTGCTGAGCTTTCATCAGTCATACTTGAGAATGCTTCTAATTTGTGGTGGTAGACTTTTCTCAGCTTGAAGTGACTGCAGCTGTCTAGGCTAAGTCTTGCCTTCAACTGTGTTTTCACTGGACTTGCTTTTCCTTCCAGGATTAATTTTTCTCCGTCTAATTTACATGGTGATAAGAAGTGCTAATCCCACTCTGTCAGTCTGGACTGATGAATCTGAGGAATAGAACAGGTAATTTCTAATTTGGCTTGTAGCTTTTGGTGACTCAGGCAGTGAGAACCACTCCCTCTCTATGGAGTGCATTCGTAACAAAAGAATTCATACAGTTTCTTTTGCCCAGATCATCTGCAGCGAGGGAGATCCTTGTCCTGGAGCAGGGACAGAAAGATAAAATTTTGTAGCTATTGCTATGAGGAGCATCTTTGACTTCCTGACAGTTGCAGGTGGTTCTGTTTTGTGTTATTTTTGTAGCGACCAAGTAGTTTGAGCTTGGAATAGTCTCTAACAGAGAAAATCTTTTAGATGTACCAATGGAAAAATGTCCCTTGAGTTCTGGACAGCATGGGGTGTTTTGCAGGGAAAGTGCTCACCAGAGATGGGGCAGATTGGTTCTAATAATGGGGTGGGTGTGATTTCCTCTTTGGAAGTGTCTGAGGGGGTGCAATCCAGCAGAGCTGTCCCAGACAACATGGTGTGGTGACAGCAGCTGCCTCACCTGCACCTCCCTGGCTTTTTGCCCCTCAGACTCAGCCCATCTGAGTCACAGAAAGCAAGGCACCAGCAAAGAAGTTACCCTTGTGTTGAATTTTCCATCATTTAATAGGGCTTGAGAGTACTGTGTCCTTACTGGGAGTTGTTGCCAACTGTTTTTCCCTGGTTAGTGCCAGGTGAGGATATTTTAAATTGAAGCCTTGGGTATGAATCCCAGAACACAGCTCAGATGATGTGAGAGAATGTGGGAACCAGTGCAAGCAGCAGTCATTGGCTGCAGGATGTTCTGGATGAACCTGTCTATCATATAATCTCTTAAATATCCTTATAATATGCTGCTGATGCCTAATAATAATCCTTTGGGGGATTAGAACAGTTTCTTTCTTTCTTTCTTTCTTTCTTTCTTTCTTTCTTTCTTTCTTTCTTCCTTCCTTCCTTCCTTCCTTCCTTCCTTCCTTCCTTCCTTCCTTCCTTCCTTCC